AGCAAGGTTTCCTTGGTGTTCTGGGCGACCTTCTCGATATGAAGAAGCTCGAGATCTCTCAGACTCAGTTGCTTAAGGGTCAGTCCACTTGGAAACAGTGGAAGACTCTCACGACTGCACAGGAGCACACATTTGAAACTGTCAACATTGCTCTGGTTGGTAAGTATGTCAGTCTCCATGACTCTTACTTGTCCGTCATCAAGTCCCTGGAGCACGCGGCTATGGCTTCTCGCCGAAAGCTCAACATCATTTGGGTCGATGCCTCGCACCTGGAAAACGAGTGGGAGGAGACCAACTCCAAGGAGTACCACAAGGCCTGGTATGATGTCCACACCGCCCATGGAATCTTGGTCCCAGGAGGCTTCGGTACCAGAGGCACCAATGGTATGATTCGCGCTGCCCACCATGCCCGTACCAAGAACAAGCCTTACCTTGGTATCTGCCTGGGTATGCAGATTGCCGTGATTGAATACGCTCGTAATGTCTGTGGTCTCGAGGGTGCCAACTCGGTTGAGCTTGACGAGCGTACCACCCATCCCATTGTGGTGTACATGCCTGAGATCGACCAGGTGAACCTCGGCGGTACTATGCGTCTTGGTTCCCGTCCTACCCTCTTCCAGGAGGATACTGAGTGGTCTAAGCTCCGTTCTCTCTATGGATTGGACCGGGCTTCTATCGATGAGCGTCACCGCCACCGCTATGAAGTTAACCCCGAGTATATTGATCAGCTCCAGGCTGCCGGTCTTCACTTCATTGGAAAGGATGACCAGGGTGAGCGCATGGAAATTGTCGAGCTGAAGGACCACCCCTGGTTCGTGGGTGTTCAGTTCCACCCCGAGTACATTTCTCGTGTGTTGGCACCTAGCAAGCCATTCCTCGGATTCCTTTCCGCCGCAGCCGGCTGTTTCGACCAGGTCAAGGCTTTGTCTCAGGCCAAGGAGACCGATTTGGCTAACGGTGTTAGCAACATTGTTCTCTAAGCATTAATGGTTCCAAATGATGGTTCCATAGGAGTTTGTAATTTTCACGAAAAGCATATGAATATAGAGAATTAAATAAAAATATTTACCACATATAATACCACTCTTCAATTATACTTGTTTACTGTTTTTTATAAGTAACTACCTACTTCCTACAAAACGCTCATTCAGAATTTCAAGTGTTGTGCCTGAGGCAGGGAGAGGCTCAAGCATGTGACGTACTAACCGTGTTGGGATTAGCGTACTTTCAGTGTTTATGTGGGCTATTACAATTTATTGAGCGCTCGCAGTATTATCTTTGAGCTTTGGATCTTCTATCGTTTTTCTTCTGTGATTGTCAACACTCCTGCTCCCCTTTGAGTCCCTGAATACTTAACTCCCATCTCTCCCCACCTGTCCTTTTCTCTTTCACTTTCCTCATCTATTCCCCCTCACTTGTGTTGATACCCCACGTAACAAGATGGCGGAGGGTCTTGGAGCTCTGTTAGAGGCAAGCTTGGACCCCAGGCAAAATAAGGCCGGTAAGTTATAAGAGTTGACCCTTGAATACCGGAGGCAGTGTTGACGGGAGGTTTTTTTTTCTGTTCAGCCGAGATCACTCTTCGTCAGGAAGAACAGAAGCCCGGTTTCTCGCTACAGCTTCTTCACATCACCGCATCGGAGACTACACCTTACAACACACGTCTTGCTAGCGCTCTATGCTTCAAGAACTTCATCAAGCGCAACTGGACCGACGAAGATGGAAATTACAAGCTGCAGCAGGATGAAGTCACAACTCTCAAGCGCGAGCTGATCTCTTTGATGATCTCGGTTCCATCAGGAATTCAGAGCCAGTTGGGTGAGGCCGTTAGCGTGATCGCCGACAGTGACTTCTGGGAGCGGTGGGATACTCTGGTTGATGTAAGTTGCGACTCAACAAAGCATTGTAATGCGATCTCTGACGATTTGTTTTTTTTTTCCAGGACCTCGTGTCGAAGCTGTCACCGGGCAACCCCACCGTCAACATTGGTGTGCTGCAAGTCGCGCACTCAATTTTCAAGAGATGGAGACCTTTGTTCCAGTCCGATGCACTCTACACCGAGATCAACCACGTTCTCGGCAAGTTCGGTACTCCATTCCTGGCCCTGTTTGAGGTATCTTCAATTTTCTCACTTTTGCTTCGGTGAGTCGAGCTAACCGTTTACAGGCATTGGACAACTATCTTGAGCAAAACAAGGCCAACAAAGAGAACTTGGCCCAAGGGTTCAATCAGCTCAACCTGATGGTGAAGCTGTTTTACGACCTTTCCTCCCACGATCTCCCTCCCATGTTCGAAGACAATATCTCTGGAATCACAACGATCTTCCTTAAATACTTGACCTATGATAACCAATTACTCCACACCGACGATGAGACGGAGGCTGGTCCGTTGGAATATGTTCGCGCCGGAATCTTTGAGGCCTTGACTCTCTACGTGCAGAAGTACATGGATGTCTTCCAGCCTCACGTTGGACAATTCATTGGGAGCTCATGGAACTTCCTCACAACCATTGGCCAGGAGACCAAGTATGATATTTTGGTCAGCCGAGCACTCCACTTCTTGACATCTGTCGCGGGTATGCCCGAGCATGCCGCTTCTTTCCAAGCCGAGGAAACCTTGGGCCAGATTGTTGAAAAGGTCATTTTGCCGAATGTGAGCCTCCGCGAGTCCGACGAAGAACTCTTCGAGGATGAGCCAATTGAGTTCATTCGACGGGACTTGGAAGGATCTGATAGCGAGACCCGACGTCGAGCTGCCACTGATTTCCTCCGCAAACTCGCAGAGAAATTCGAAGAGCCGGTGACCCAGGTTGTCCTCAAGTATACCCAGCACTACCTGGCCGAATATGCCAAGGATTCATCCAACTGGAAGGCCAAGGACACAGCGACGTACCTTTACTCCGCTATCGCCGCCAAGGGCACTGCGACCTCCTCGCACGGTGTCACTGCTACCAATCAGTTGGTCAGTATCACGGATTACTTCCAGCAGAACCTCGCCGCGGATCTGATCAACGAGGATGGTGTTCACCCTATCCTGAAGGTCGACGCTATCAAGTATTTGTACACTTTCCGCAGTATCATCACCAAGGAGCAGTGGCAGCAGGTTCTCCCTGTGCTGGTGAAGCACTTGGCGTCATCCAACTTTGTCGTCTACACCTACGCTGCCATTGCCCTGGAGCGAGTTCTTTTCCTCACCGACAGCCAAGGACAGGCTGTCATCCCACCAACTGAAATCACACCGCTTGCTAAGGATCTTCTCGAGCACATCTTCCAGCTGATCCAAAGTGATCCAGCCCCTGAAAAGGTGCAAGAGAATGAGTTCTTGATGCGTTGCGTGATGCGTGTTTTGGTTGTTATCAAGGAGGGCGTGGTGCCTTTCACTGATGTCGTGCTCCAGCGCTTCATTAATATTACCAATATCATCAGCGCGAACCCAAGTAACCCCCGATTCTACTACTTCCATTTCGAAGCCCTGGGTGCCTTCATCCGGTATGTTCCTACACACTTCGCTTTCTAAATACTAGAAGCTAACTTTATGACAGATTTGCTGCTCCCGCCAATCCCGACAAGCTCGAGCAGGCTCTTTATGCGCCCTTCGCAGCTATCCTCCAGAATGATGTGCAGGGTAAGTCAAATCAAGCAAAGTTGTCAGAACCACTTCTTACTAATAAATTTCAGAATTCATGCCCTACGTTTTCCAGCTTTTCGCGGCGTTGCTCGAGGCCAACCCATCCGGCACCCTTCCCACCTACTACCAGGAGCTTATTGGCCCTATCTTGATGCCCGTTATGTGGGACTCGAAGGGAAATATTCCTGCCTTGGTCCGCCTACTTTCCTCGATCATTCCCCGTGGCTCTCAGTTCATCATTGAACACAACCAGATCGAACCCATCCTTGGTATCTTCCAGAAACTAGTTTCTACCAAGGCCAATGAGAGCTTTGGATTTGATCTCTTGGAGACAGTTGTTGCTAACTTCCCACCGTACGTATCACATCCTCCAAGCGCCCAATTTACGGTTACCTGACTTCACTTTCCCTAGAACTGCCCTTGAGAACTACTTTGTCATGATCATGCAGATCATTCTTCAACGTCTGCAAAACTCCAAGACGGAGAACCTGACTCTCCGCTTTATCCGCTTCTTCCACTTCATCTCAGCACAGGACAACAAGGGCTACAGTGCAGACTTTGTCATCCAGGTCACCGACAAGGTGCAAGAGGGGTATGTATCCTCACTCTATGTAAATTGCTCATATGCTAATTGATGTCTAGACTCTTCACCCCCATCTATGTCAATGTCATCCTGCCTGAAACCCAGAAGCTTGCCCGGCCTTTGGATCGCAAGACGGCTATCATCTCCTTCACTAAGACCCTTGCCAACTCGGAGGCCTTTGCCACTCGTTACAGCCAGAAGGGATGGGGCTTCACCTGCACCGCCTTGCTGAAGCTCCTCGAGCTTCCCCCGCTGCCCGCAAGCAGGGATGATCTCATCAATGATGCAGACATCGAAGACATGTCCTTTGGTGTTGGATTTACTCCTCTGAACACCATCCGCCCCCAGCAGAAAGACCCGTGGCCCGAAACTGGTGCCGACCTCAAGGCTTGGGTGGGTTCATACCTGAAGGAGGCCGACAAGAAGCAGAATGGCCGTATTTCGCAGTTCGCCCAGGAACGCCTTGATGACCAGTCGAAGACTGTGCTGGGAAGTTACATTTCTTAGTGGCTTTACGATGACCCCCTGCCCTTCCAAGAAACTAAAAAAGTTCAAATTCCGCGTGTTTGCTTTCTCCTTCAGAGCAATGCAATCATTTTCCCCACTCCCCCTACTACACCATATGCATGTTGCGATGAGACACTAGATCCATGAAATAAATGTTTGTTTGATTTTCCACTAGAGGAACATCCGTGAGAACTTCGATTTCTCAAAAGTAAACGCTCAAACTCCAATGCAGTAGACATACTATACAAAATCCCAGACCCCATGCAACACTATAAAGCTCACATCATACACTCTTCCCGGACTCTCCGGGTGACTTGGACTCATCTCCAACCTCTGGTGCAGCGTCCTTATTTTCTTTAACCTCACTCCCAATTTCCGATTCACCCTCCTTATTTTCGCCCTCCTTTACATCGTCATCCCATATAATCTCAATCTCATCTTCTTCCTCCTCAACAATTTCCCCCTCCTTAAGCTCCCGATACTTTCTCCTCGTCTTTTTCAACTTGCTAGCCTTCTTCTTCTTCGCCGCCGCAGCCTTAATCGCAACCCGACTGTTATCCCCCTTCTCCCGCGCCTCGACTCTATCGGCAAGTAGCGAGCGCGCAATCTTTGCGTTCTGTGACTGGGAGCGCGTCGCTTGGCATTTGATTACCACCCCGCTAGGCTTGTGGATAATTTGGACGGCTGAGTTCGTTTTGTTCTAGGTTGTGTTAGTTTTAGTCTGCTGGTTGGTGATGGGGGTGGGCTCTGTGAGGAGAGAGGAAATGGAGTCCATGGTCTAGTGATGCGATTGGTACTTGAGACGTACAATCTTCTGTCCGCCAGGCCCGGTGCCTTTTAGGTAGGATATTGATATGTCGGCATCGTTGATCTTGAGCCGTGGGGGGAGGGGTTTTGCGGGGACAATGGGGGTTTGGCTGAAGAGCCTGGCCGGGGCTGCTAGTGTTTGGGACGATGTCCACCAGCGCAGGCGAGAGAACATTGTTTTGGTGTTGGTGCTGTGGTCTGTTGAAGGTTGAGGTTATTGCCGCCGACGTTTGCGATAAGATAGATAAGCTTGAAGTATGCGGGCAGCCCTGGAGTGTTATTTTCTTGGGCTTCTTTTAGTTATTTACTAGTTGATTTGGGGACTATGAGCTGGGAATCTTGGATCAATGAAAGTTCTAGGTCTTTAAATGTCTAATATTTCTGTTTGTTGGTTAGGAATGGCGGTATATACTCCGTAATCTTGTAAGCTTTTCCCGCTGCAACTACATAGAGAAAAGAGAGGATCTGAAAGGTGGTCATGAATAGTAGAGCACTTGTCCAAGGATCATGAGACGTGTATTAAGTCTCTTACATCTGGGCAAATCAACTTGATTAGCGAAAGGACATGAAATTGCTAGTCGTACATCTATGCTTAATATTGTTGCCTACAAACTGTGGCATGGAACAAGTACAATTAAGACCAATGGTTAAAATAGGGAGAAGTATTGAGAGATGATATATAAAGGATATGCTATGCATATAGATATTGATACTATCCAAAGTCGTGGCATTCAAATTGTACAAATTATACAGACTCCGAAACACAAAGTATCGGGTACTTAAGACTCAGGTGTGAAGTAGCGGCAAAGGTATGTACTGGGTACAAGCTCTCGCGGCAAACACGGAAAGGGGAAGGGTTTTGCAGTTCCCCCAGCTTCGCGACTCTTATCCGCCGTCTCTTCCTTACTCCTATCATCAACCCACCTCAACGTCTCCGTGCCAATACGCTCTTCCTGGTTATAACGAATATCCTCCAATTGCCTAAGTCCCCGTCATATCCGACGACCTCACGTCAACATTTTCCCGAGCCGTGTTGATTTGGAACACCATTGCTCATTTTTTCCCCTTCACAACACCACGCTCTAGCCGGGCATACATATAGTACTCGTATCTGATACGACTGTTCCCGGTATCTGCTTCCCGCTTTTGTTATTGGCGGTCCTTGCCCAGGTGGTGTAAAGGGAAAAAAATCAAACGAACGGCACCGAAAGCCGCAGGATACAACGAAAGACCGGAGCATCATACAATCTTCTGAATACCCCGCAACAATGGACTTCATTATCTGGACCGTGTCTAGCCTCTTCCGCTGGATGCGATTGAAGGTCTACCAGTATGAGGTGACATTCTCCCTCTACATGCTTACTCCGATTGAGAAGCTCATCTTCAGTACGTTGCGCCCATCTCCCGTCCTAAATACTCTTGATACGACATGCTGACATTTAATTTCCTCTTCAGACACACTGCTCCTTGGTCTCGTCACCATGATCGCTATGGGCACTTACATTTACCTTCCCGACCACCTCCGTGCCATCTACGGCCGCCTCTACTACTACTGGGCCGGCGAGCGCTTGTTCAGCTCCGGTCGGTTGTCGATCAGCTCGGTCTTTGGCGAAAATGGTGTCGCCACACAGATTGGGGACATGGTGTACGAAACGGCAATGAACGCTGCTGCTACCTCGACCGAGCGCATGGCCGAACTGTGAATAAAAGCCCGACACGCATAATTATTGCATTTGCATTCTCTACTGCCAAGAGTGAGGAACCGTCTATAATGCTCTTGAATTTCCATATTCAAGGGAACCTTGTATCCACTCTTCCTGTCGGCCGGCGCTTGTTTGGAGTTGTGTTCTGGGAACTTGCGGCATCCCTATGATTTGCATTGTCGCAGTGCGGCGGATTACATTATTATTAATTCTTGTCTTTTCTTTTTCTTGGGTCATTCACACCACACTGTGTATAGATAGATATGCCTCTTTCCCGGCAGACTTCTGTGGTCGATTGATACCAGTTGTGTTATCATTGGAACGTGATCATGATTGAAGTTCATATTTGCACACTTTTCCAGAATGATGTACATAGATGTAGAGAGTAGATCGTAGATCGTAGAAAAAAGTAATATGATGTTGGATAATGCAACATCTAAAATGAAAACCCCAGAACGCCCTCGATGCCCAGAGCAGAGTGTTGTACAAGTAAACCCACCATCAGCACATGTGTAACTCCACAGCGCACTGCCAATATTGTCCTCAGTAAGGATTGATCCCCCAAACGAGAGGGAAGAGGAATATCAATGAATCCTTTCGGAACACACTTTCCCCCGGGAACTTGGACAATACGCGCACGTCGTGATTCAGACCACACCACTAGCTCCTCTCAATCGCAACCACTAATTGCAGCCTCATTGCTGGCTCTGAGTGGCTTGGATCTGTGCCTGTGCTTGTGCCTGTGCTTCCGCCGCCTGTCTCTGCTCCCGCTTTATGACATCCACCATGCGCATACGTGCCAATTCCTGGTCAATCTCCTCCTTATCCAGTGGAATCTTGTGTGATTGCTCGGCAGTGGGCCAGAAGCCCTTTGTGGAGAAGCGGTCGTCGAGGTTGGTACCGAAATAGTACATCCAGCCGATGGGGAAGAGGACGTACATGCCAAACTACGTGGACTTTGTTAGTCTTAAGAACAGGCGATGGAAGGTGGGAGGTGGCATTGCCCGCTCGAGATAATTGATTGTCAACTACGCACCTTGAGGACTTCGAGGTTACCTCCCTGCAACTTGCGAAAGATTTGCGACGACATTGTTTGATGTGTTGCTTTTTTTTTCTTAGGGTGTTTTGGTTTCAGGTATTGCTAAGAGTGTGGATTGAGGTTCGATGGTATTTTTGGGATGTGTCCAATTGATAATCCCGCCTGGTTCCAGCAGACAGAGAGCAGCGATGATTTGGAGGTTGATCTTCAATCTTCAATGTTCACTCGCCGAGTGGTGCCATGGCCCTGGGACCAGTCACGGGCTTGATTACTCGGATTTGAGCAAACAAGACAAACATGCATATATATATCTTCTGCCTCAGGCACCGATTGGTAGGTTCACCGCGGGCCTCGGCTCCCCGCAAACTTAAGCTGTACCCGGAGACCCTGCATAGAGACAATTGATAAATCATTGCACATCCAGTTAAAATCCATGTCCCCTTGAAAAATTTCCTTCTACAATATACAGTAACAATGTCAAACGAGAACCTCATTACCGTTACCTACCAGGATCGCGTAGCGATCGTGACACTCAACCGGCCTGACAAGCTAAACGCTCTCAATGCCGACCTATACTACCTTCTAGCCGAGCGTTTACGCGAAATTGACTCGAGGGAGGATATCTTTATCACAGTCCTGACCGGAACAGGTCGTTTCTTCTCTGCGTATGCCATCCAAGCTTGACAAGATCTACTATACGTATCTAACACTCATATCTTCCCCACAGCGGAGCCGACGTAACAAGCGTACGTCCTGGCAGCAGCGAGCTGGGCACAAATGTTCACCGCGAGCTCCTGAAAGGGTTCGTAGCTAATAATGTCTACGTCACACGCACTTTCTACAACCACTCCAAGATCCTCGTTGCCGCCCTGAACGGGCCCGCTGTCGGTCTTTCAGCAGCACTGGTCGCCCATGCTGATTTCATCTACGCTGCCCCGCACACATTCATCCTCACTCCCTTCTCCTCGCTCGGTCTTGTCGCCGAAGGCGGCGCTAGTCGTGCCTTCGTTGAGCGTCTCGGCATCGCCAAGGCGAACGAGGCACTCATTATGAGCAAGAGGATTTCCTGTGACGAGCTTGTTTCGGCTGGCTTTGTGAATAAGGTTATTACACCGGAGTCTGGGAAGAAGGAGGACTCTGATGGGTTCTTGAAGAAGGTGCTTGAGGAGGTGGATGATCGTCTTGGTACGCACTTGAACCAGACTAGTCTGTTGAAGATTAAGGAGCTGGTAAGACGGCCTGAGAGGGAGCTTTTAGATCGCCAGAATGGCATTGAGGCGTTTGAGGGCCTTGAGCGCTTTATGCAGGGAATCCCGCAGGAAGAGTTCCGGAAGTTGGCGTCTGGTGAGAAGAAGCATAAGCTTTAGTTGCTGAGTGGTGTTTTTGTATATAGCTATTAGAGGTAGCTATTAGAGGTTACAGCTGCCTGTTCTATGGCCTTACCTCAGTACATACTTTTCCTAACTGTTCAAAGGGTTGACTGGTTCTTGATACGTTATCTTGTTCTTCAAGACGAAGAATAGAAGTAACAAACTAATATCAGAAGATGCGATCCTTGAATCAAACCTCCCTGTTTGTTGTGATATAGCATACAAAATTTGTCTTTGTAGATTCTAAAAAAGACCTATCTAGGTAGGTAATTATGGAAATTGGTGGTTGACGGCGACATTTATATATTTATCTTTATTCATTGATAGTGTGGATTGGTTTTCAGTCCACGATGCAACCTTGGAATCCCCAAATACTCATTTCCCTGCTATAGTCCAACGCCACTAGACCAAAAATCCATGCTTTTATCCCACTCAGTGTTCTGAGCTGAGATTGTTTTATTCAGAGTCACTATCAGCAGCCCGATCCTCTTGCTCCTGCTTCTTCAAGATATCCTGCCACTGGCCCATGAACTCACTCATGCCGCCAGGCCCATCAAGCGAAGCATCGACCAGCTCCCTCGGCACCTTGTGGGCCGAATATTGAGTAGAGCTGAATGCGTACGCCTCGGGATCATCCTTTTTGATGAGACGGAATTCCGGAAGGAAGGGGGCCTGTTCGTCATCTCCTTCAGCGCCCTCATGTTCTTCTTCCGAATCGGAAGAGCCCGAATCATCTTCTTTTTCAAGCTCTTCCGCTGTGCCGGAAGTGATGATTTTACCATCATGGAGTGATATTCTCACAAACTCTTCCGCTACATCATCTTCTTCCTCTTGGACACCAATCGGATCCTTCATCTGGAGAATCTCCAACCAGCTGTATAGCAACGGGTCGGTACGCTGCGCCCAAGGGTTGATATCAATCAACCAGACACGTTGGTGCGGTGCAGGGATATAAACGTCGAATACAAAGTTGGATTCGGGGAAGGTGTCCTTGAGCTTCTCATCGAAGAATGACTGGATCCGAGAGCGGAGCATATCACGCATGGGGAAGAGGAAGTCGAAGTGATTTTGATCTCGTTGGGTCATGCACAGCAAGACACGGTTGCGCACAAAGCAACGGAACTCGAGAGAAGGGTTGAAGTTGACGTATTTGCGGAGAACCAGGGAATACGGAACATCCGGCAGCGGTGAGTCAACGGTGAATGGCGTGGGTTCGTCATCAGTTGTATCCGGCACACAGTCATCGAAGGGGTGATCTAAATCATGGGTGATGAAGTCGCTGCTTTTCAGGAGGAGGTAGATGTCATTCGGAGAACGGCATTGGGTGTCGTTTGTGGCAGCCATAAATGTTGCATCTTTGGGAGCACTCCAGTTTAATTTCGGTGTGACGATTCCGCCAAAATCAGAGATAGTATTCTTGATCTGAGTGTGGATCTCCTGCCACTCTGTAGATGGATCGGGCTCCTCCTCGCCCGAATCGGAGAATGTGTCTAGGTTATCATCGTCGGTTGGGGCGACAGTCTCGGGCGGAAGAACAATGCCATCGGCGCGGAGGTATTCAACGAAAGAATTGGTCAATGGAATGACCCGCGACTTGGGAGCAAGTGTGCGGTACCTAGAACTTCGGTCAGATATGTCTAGTGTTGAGTCATATATAGAGGCTTACCGCGGATGCCAGTCATGATAGGAGCAATGCAAGATATGGGAGTAGGTGGTGGGCGGAAAGGGAAGGCGATCTGGAAGATTGTTGGATGGCATCTCTGCCATAGCAGCGTCTGATTCAATCAACGGCATATTGGATATCGTTTGTGTAAAGTATAAGATATTCCGACGACGGCCGATTTCCCCTCGGTGGCGGGGAACTTTTTCTGCCATCACGTGTTGATAATGATAAGGCCGAGTACGGGTCTAAGGCGCTCAGGCATCCGTGTCGCCTGGATTACCTGTTCTCTATAAACCAACGTTCTCACCACATATCCCGCCAGCATGGCTCCTGAGGCTCCTGATCCTCAAAGCCTGAAGTCATGGAATGATGCATTCCAATACCCAATTCCCACGGTTCGCCGTGTGGAACAGGAGCTGCGCCGGGACATTGCGAGCAATAAGGAGAAGCTCCGAGCTCTCGTGGGGTAGGTGATTGATTTGCCATAGTAGCTGTTCTCTCGCTAATATTGATATGCTTTGATCATAGGACGCGATATCGGGACTTAGTTGGAACCGCTGAGACGATTGTGGCAATGAATCGAGACATACAAGACGTGGAATCCATCCTGGCCGATGTTGGACGTCGGTGCAACCCCCGACTTATAGAAAGGAAGCATGTTCACGTCCGGCAAATAAAGACTGGCGATGCCGAGAAAGGTACGAAACAAATCCTGGAGGAAATCAGGAATCAGTAGCTAATACTGTGGACTTAGACGCAAAGAAGCACGCATTTGGAGCACAGCTTTCTCTCCTTCACCGCTGTACAACCTCTATCAGCCGGCTTTTGCGACGTCGTGGTTCGCTACTGTTGGTTGCGAAAATCCTCGTTGTTTCCAGATCACTACACAGCACATTATCGAAACATGAATCGCTCCCTCCATTCCTTGATGATCTCTGGAAGCAAGTAGCGTCCCTCCGGCAAACACTTCTCAAACGGATTAATAAACGCCTTGCCTCTACAAGCGCCTCAGAAGACACCATCATTGAATCATTGGCCGCCTATTGCCTTGTAGAGAGCCCTTCTTCCGATGATGCGATTCGTCATTTTCACCGAGTGCGCCTGGACCTCATTGTTAGCCAGTTGGATACGTCTCGTGAGAACATTCCCAGAGCTCTCCAGCTGTTTGTTCGGACACTTCAGGTCTCAAAGGTTTTGCGATCCCATCGATTCTCAGATGTGCTTTCGAAACTTAAAGCTCGACCGCTCCTTGCCGACTCAGAAATTCAGAGTCTAGATGGGCTGGAGGTTGAAGTTCTTGGCCGCTGGGTAGCTCCAGATGTCAAAAACTTCACACCCTGGATCAAGCTCAGCGAACTAAACAGAACCCAGGGTGTGGAATCGATGAAGGAATGGGCACTCGAGGCTTTCTCAAAATTCTTTGACGGCTGCCAAAAGAGCCTGGCCCACAGCACCGATTTCTCCGAGCTCCTCTCGCTCCGCACGGAGACCGTGGAATTATGGCTATCATCCTGGGGCTCAACAGTCATTCGCGGCTCGGTAGATGTCCTCGAAAGTCTTCGAAACATCTTCAATGACCACCTTGCCAGAATCTTGAATATGCAAGCACAAAGCCTAGGCGAAGTCGGTACTCAAGTTTCATCCATAATATCAGACTGGGAGAACACCGGGCACAACTCCATCGGATCTCTGTGGGATGCCGATCTCATTACCGCAGAATACACGAATGGCGCACAGGCGTTCAAACAAACAGTCGCTGACAGATTATTGGGTCGTGACGAAGACGTCTCTACCGTTCTTACGAAATATCAAGCATGGCTGGCATCAATCCAAGAAGTCAATGAATCCATTGACTCTCTACGCCGCACACGATGGACAGACATTCTTGTCGGAGGTGAAGTTGCAGACGAAGATATCGACTTCACCCCTCGACTCAACGAAGATGACCCCCGCCACCTATCCGATTCTCTGCGCTCTGCCGTTCGGGACGCATTGACCAGTCTCCAGGAATCATTCAGCAGCGCGTTCAAGTCATTCACCCCGTCGCATTCCAGCGAGAAAGCCACTTTCCTCCTGAGACTTATAAGACTCGTCCGGCGAGATATCCCCGCCGGTTTTGTATCTGGAGACTTTATCTTCTCGAGCGAAATAGTCCCTGATCTACAAAAGTTGCTTGCGACGGAAGTAGTTGCCAAGGCTGGTTCGCTGAGCTTGATCCCGTCCCCGAAGAGTAACACCCAAACGGGCAAGATTAAGACCGTGCCAGGTCGATCACTCTGGGAAGGCGAGCCTGCCATACCGGTTCAGCCTTCGGCTTCGAGCTTCAAGCTCCTCCGCCGTCTTACTTCCTCGATGGATACCTGTGGATTGGACCTGTGGGATCCGTCCACTGTGAAAGCGCTGAAGCAGGGATTGAAAACGAAACTTGAGGCGGCTATTTCATCTGCTTTGGATGATCTCGATAGCGAAGATGCCCCTATCAAGGCTGAGGCCAAGGACGACCAAACCACTGCCAACGGAGATAAAGAAGAGGAAGATAAGGCTGCAGAGAAATCGGAGACCCAAAGCCCAGATCCAGATCAAGTTGAGGGCCTACGCGACTGGAAGGTTCAGCTCTTCTTCGACTCTCTGTATCTGTCCCAGATGCTCGGCGAACAAAACCAGCTGACTGGTGTCGTCGAGCGTGCTCAGCAGAGCTCTGGTTCCAGTGCGGAGACTGTTAAGACTATCAAGAAGCTTGCAACTGAGTATTGGACTAGGACGGAGCTGCTGTTCGGTCTCTTGGCAGCACACTGAGTGGTTCTCAAGGAGGATGCTGCATCCCGCCAAATGCCCATTCATGCTTTACATTATCATTTCAAGCAGCAGTGTATACACGCTGTACTTGAATTTATTTTGAACAGAAGATACACTGATTACGTAGTATGCAGACAAGAATCCATTACAGAGTATGTAGACAAGATATCATACATTTCATTTCATACAATCATATCTCGTCCAACCATAAAATGATCATTTGCCAGATATTAAGAAATTTCCCTCGTTCCACACAGATTACCACTGGTTAACCTTTTTTTGATGACATTTTGTATTTTTAAATGTTTTTGTGGCTTTTTTGTTATCGAGCTTTCGCTCATCAATCAGGGAAGGGGGAATACCCTTTATCGGTCAGGACTCTTCGCAATGATCTCGACCTGAGATCGAATGATTTCAATCTCGCGCTGAACAGCCCAGAGGGCGCGCTGGGCCTCACGAGCTGAGCTACCGAGGTCCTGAGCTGGAACGGTCATCATACCCTCGTCGATGCCCTTAGGAGACCAGTGCTCAACGATGTACTCAAGTTGGCCGTCGATCGGGAGAATACGGCCGCGAATGACAGAGAGTTCCTCTAGCTTTGCGGTGGACCAATTGCTGTCGAATTGCTGTCTCCACCGCTCCTTCAGCTGTCGGAAGTTGTCTAAAACACCATCAAGAGCCATGGCAATCTTCATACCGTCGGTAAATATCACCTTGCGCATGTGTATTTTATCCCGAGTGGACCAAGCGGCCGCGGGCAGAACGCTCATGCGTCTCATGCACACCTTATGGAAGTGCTGGACAAGTTTGCCCTCGCGTGTTTGTGCCCTAAAGCGATTGTTTTCGAGCACCTTCATCACCTGTCGCCAGCGTCGCTGGAGGTTCGTGATCATGTCCAGCTCGTAGCCGGTGTATTCGTCAACTTGCCATTCTTCTCCCAGACCCATGGATAATGGATTCTCAGCAATACGCGATACTTGCAGGATATCACTCAACTGGGCGAACTTGGCGTTGCCTTGTGTAAAGGACCGCAGGAATAGAGGAGCGGACTTTCTATCGTCAAGTGCAATGACGCAAAGCTCGTCTTTGTGATTGTAGGCTGCATACTCGCGGATGCAACTTTGTCGGAACCTATCACTGTTGGAAAACTCCAGTGCCATTCCCGGTGGAATAAGGGTCGATCGAAGCGTCTAGTGTTTTTTAGTATAACTAGTCAAGCTTATTTTGGAAAGCATTGCTATAAGCAAATACACATACCTTGTTGACCACCTTCTCCATCTCCTTAAAGCCGATTGGCTGCTTGGGCCAATGATTTAGGTTGAGATTCACGGTCGTCAGCAGCTCAGTGCAGCGCCGTTTGACAATAGGGATTGGAAGGTTACTGCGACCCAATCCTTGGAACCTCAGAACACCGTTGGTGAGCGCACTTTCGACCTGTTCCATGAGGTTGCAAAAGCTGATGACAATGCTCATCAAGTCGGTTGTTTGCACTCGGATTTCTCTGTCCTTGAACCCATAGTCTTTGGCGGGAGATTGCATAATTGTCGAAAGATGCTGCAAGGCCCAGGACCAAGGAATTACGATGCCCCTTCCTGGATTGGCGATACAAAGCTGCACAGTATTAGTAACCTATTGTATCATCGACGATATTTGGAAACATACAACGTATGTAGCTGCAAATTCGAGCACGGAAAGAACAGCATGGAGTGACCCGAGGGAGGATTTTGGTGTTTTCTCGAGACATTGAGCAAAGGCGCTGACGCCGTTGTGCTATACAAAGGTTAGTATAGTCGCATAATTATGCAGATTAATGTCTCACAAAGTCTTGAGCATGGCGTCTTGCAACCGCGGACCGAATTCTCTCGGCAGCATTCAATGCCGTCAAAGACAACGCAAGCGGATGGCCGGATCGTCTAGGGCGCGGTGGCATGTTTCGATCCATATTCAGAACCAGTGCTCGCTGAAAGCGCGTGGCTGGGTGAGGGCCTGCAAATTGAAATTAGTTATTAGAGCTAACTTTGAGCTTTTCAGAAAAAGAAGTCCAATATACCGAGAATTTGAGCTTCTTGGACCTTCTCTAGAGAAGAGCTTAGACTGCCCATCGAGCTCCATTCCTTGTTCATACGATAGAACAATAACTCTTCGAGGCAGTATGCAGTTGCAGCAAACTCTGGATTGCTTTGCAAGTTGGAACGCAAATTTGCAATTGCAGTAGAGGACTGCTCCAGTGAACTGACAATTACCAGCTCCTCTTGGATATGTTGTATCCAAGTTCTCCCTATACTATGTTAGATCTGGGGCGTACGACAAGATTGGACTGATGACTTACTACGACCCAGGAATGGTTTGCTGAAAGCCTCACCCATAACTCTTTGATAATAAATAGGCGTCAGCCGCGCAAAGACCTCAGCAACAGTGAGAAGGCACTGCGGGAGTTAACTGTTAGTTGATCTGTTATGCCTTCTTTGTATTTTACTCACATTCAACTTCGAGATAGCGAATTCTGCAGTAGGCTTCTCATGGCCCCAGAAGCATTCATTGGCCTTAAGCTTTGAACAAAATCCTAAATGAAATTGTTAGACATTTCTAAGCGATGGTGTCACCGGATAAAGCTTACCTTCGTAAAGCTGTTGGAAACAAGTGGGCGGAAAATCCCTCTTCATAAGACTGTATGCATTTTCATGGAATTGAGTAAGCGCTGCCGCAAACTTGTCTTGAATGAAGTCTTTCGCAATGTCAAGCAAGTTCTCGGATGAAGATCCATCAAGGGGCGTTGCTGTGTAAGTTCTCAACGGAGACCAATGAAGCAAGATTGTCTGGTTCTCTTGCTTTGGATTGGTAAAAATGCCACAACTCATAGCCAGGCAAGTAAGGGAGTACTGGTTCTGGGCATAAAAGTCCTGCAGCAGCTTTCCAACTCGGATGACAATATCCATTGGAAGATGTTCGATTTTCTGCTTGGTGAACACTGATGGCTCGAAAGAAATCACCTGAAAATGGTTAGCTCACTACCCACAAATGAGGTCAAGATTGAAAACCAACAAAAAGACAGAAAACATCCTTCAAAAGGCCTTTATCCAGATGTTTGACTGAGGCGGGTTGATCAATGTCGTCAAAATCATCCATCAAAAGCAATAGCGATTTCCACTGAGCTCCGAGTTTTTCGAGGTAAGTCGATTTGACTGATTTCAGCAGCCCATCTCGTTCAGGCTTGCCCGGAATCAAGTCTCTCTGGGAATGCAAAACCTCGACCATTGAATAATTAAACAGCTTTTCGACAACTGGCTTGTCAACCACTGGCATCAATTTGTGGACCAGCAATGTGCTTATCGCCGCAGGAATGTCACCAACAGCCACTGATAGATCGTAATACTCAAACCATCTGGACTTTGATGAATAGAGCGCACGTAACTGGTCCCACATTTCAAACTCTTTGAAGAAAGCGATCTTGGACACATCTGACCCAAGCATGTTGATGGTTATCGCCCTCAGACTGGCAGAGACACGTCCCTGCTTCAGCAAGATATTGCATAGTCTCGAGTAACGAAGCAAGGTGGGCTCGCTGAGGTACTCGCGGTTCCTATACAGAGTCAATATCGTGTAATCGATTTATTAAGAAATCGGTGTGAAAACCTGTTGGCATAGGTGACTAATTCATCGAACTGGTCTCCGCGGCGCAAGACCTCGATTGCCGCCTCGTATTGACCACAAGAATGATAACACTCCGAAGCTTCGGTGAACAGAGCGCCTTTCTCATAGAAAGTTGCAGCTTTCTGATATTGTTCACGATCCTTCCAGATTTCTAGAAGAGAGGTCAGCATTCCTCAGGCTCGACACGATTGAAAAACAAACCTGCAACTTTGCCGAACTGCCCAAGTCCCTCATAACACATCGCCGCTTCTGTAATGAGCCCGATCTCTAAGAAAAGAGCAATGGCTTTCTCATAGCATGCGGCGAATTCTTCGGTATCACCAGCCGCTCGGTGGGATCTTCCTTCTTGCTCATGCAAACACGCTTGTGAGTGTGTCATTCCTCGAGAATCATTGGCTTTCTTATAACAAAACAATGCCTGTTAAACTTTTATTAGCACGAAGCTCTCCTCCGCCTGGTGAACAGTATATTACCTCTGCAAAGCTCTTCCGGTGGAGAAGATGTGCTGCTCTCTTGAGCCACCTCTCTGGGTCCACTGATCCACCGGCCCGCAGAACCATGACTTTTCCCGCAACCTGAGAGAGATAGGATGAGTATGCGAGTTATTTGGACCAGAAGATTACTTACATTAGGGTCTTTCTGCCTCACAACTTCAGCGAGCTCGAGGCTGTTGCTCCGTGAGAGCGTTTGAAGAATGGGATCAATGCTGTTTTCTTGGGTTTCCATGAACCAAAGTTGCTTTCTGGCTCGGGTAACAGCAACATAAAGTGACTGGTTATCATTGTTAGCAAGAAAATTGATAGCAAAGGAAGAGATGTACCTTGAGTTCTGAGCACAAAGCCTAGTTGGACATGTTAGCAATCATAAAAGGTTGGCTATTTTATAGAATACTCACCGCATGTTTCTGAGAATCAAATTGCGCTCGTGCTACTTGAACAAGCATGTGAAGGCACCGGTAGCTGCTGCCAAGCCCACTGCTCCCGAAGAAGTCATACACCAAGACATCATCAAACTCCATGCCCTTGCTTTCTAGGATCGTCAAGACAAGAGCAATATCGCCGATTTGAGTTTGGAGTTTGTCCTTCGATGTATCATCTCGGACAAGGATCACTTGCTCAGCACCAAAGTCGGCGACCTTGTCGTTAAGCTTGACCAAGCCAATCATTTTGGCAGAAAGGATTGAAGAGTCAAATCCGGCTATGTGACAAATGTTAGTGATCGAATGCCAATGAAGCGATATGACATACCAAAGATAATTGGCTTTGGTCCTCCAATATAACCAATCTCTGGATCCAACTTATCAATTGTTTCCGGGAATCCTATGCATAAAAGGTTAGATAGAGACAAGCCTGATCTTTAAAATGCTCATACCATGCCAGAGTAACTGCATCACCCATGACGCGAAGCTTAGAATGCCCTGATGCGAGCGGTAATTCTTAGCCAGAGAGAATTGAACAGGCTTGGCAAATGACGGTTGATTTAGTTCGTTGGCAATGACTTCGTAATGTTCATAAAACAAAGCCTTTATCTCAGGGAACCGGAAAACTGAATCCTTTGAGATGCATTGGGCAGTATCACCAGCTATATGATATTAGTCAATTAACCTTGTGGATCAAATCCGGGAGACCTTACCAAGGTGAATCCCACGGGCGTCACTGAGGCAGCCCAAAAGTAAGACAATATCAAGACAACGCAAGTCCTGAATTTCTAAACACGCAGTTAGTACTCTACTCTCAAATATTGCAAAATTGACCCACCATCAACGTAAATTTCATCAAAACAACGCTGAATCTGCTTCGCCAGGGCTCTGTTATCTCTCAGCGACTTCAGCAAGACACTGACACGGTCCAGCTCGTCGACCTCCTTGCGAAGCCTTTTTTGTTTTTCATAGCGCTCAAATGCTCCAAATACCTTGTCACGCTCTGCCTCAGATGTAAAGGCGGGAGAAGCTTTCGCGCTCTTCTTCACATATTCTGCACGGTATAACGGCTTCAAGCTTTTTGCTGTGATGCTGGAGCCTTTAATGACGCCCATGATCTCTGCGAAGAGGAGCTCGGGAGAGCATGATGGTGGAGATAATCCACTTAGAGAACCCCAATATTCTGTTTTGAAAATGCTGAAGTCGATCACTCGTGGCTTGTCTCCCACTTGCGGGTCTAGACTCTTTGTCTTGTTTGGATTGATGTCTCTTAGGAAGTCTTTTCGATCAGCCATTCTACTTCAAGTTAGCAAGAAATATTGACAAGCTTGGCATTGAAGGTTTTCAAACCTGATTGTATTCTCTAGAAGCCCAAGAAATTCATCGTAAGTGCAGACGATTGGAAAGTGCCAGTTCTTCAGGGCGAAGAACGAAGTCGGTTTCAGATCTAAGTCTACATCCTCTTCGATCGATGGAGCCTTGGACTGAGCATCTATCAGACTCTTGGCATATGTTTGAAGCTTTGAGGCCAGATAGGAGGAACGGGTCAAGAGAAGCTATTCATGTTAATTTTCCATCCGCCATTGTGAGAAGAGAGAGAACATACCTGTCGGGCTTGTTGCTCATCCGAGGCTGACTGTCTTGCTTTGTGCTTGGCGAGCATCTTGAACAACAGACAGGTGGTTTTTCCCGTACCACTCCGTCCTAGAATCAGGCTTGAGGTGCTGAAGTGTTTCACAATTTCTAGCTCTTCGGGCGAGAGATCGAAGGGAAACTCCTCTGCGTCATTTTTATTAACGATGGACTTCAAAAACGGCTCGGTGAGATTGTAAAACTTGTCTTAAAACTTATGGTTAGCTCACAATCTATAAGGGTGAGTGTGGATGGGGTTGAATGGGATAAATTCATACTTGACATCTCAACTAGAGCCGGGCTTGCCTTGGAGGAAGCAATGGATCTCATTTGAGAAGACCCGGTCTCTTTCACGTTGCCGAACTGGCGTGGCGTCCAGGTTCCATCAGATTGCTGAACAGGACGTTCCAAACAGAGCTGGGCAAGTTCGGCGGTGTAAGATTCCTGGATTAGAATGATTTGCTCAATGGCAGTTTCCAACTGTAAAGCGAGGTTAGCACACGTCTCATATTACTCTATTTGAAAACACACCTCTTCTTCCGATGTCACAATTTGCCAAACTGCCAAGGTTAGCATAGATCTGCAAGTCTCAATGATATGAAGATACTTGCCTTTCACAATCTGCTGCTGCACCCATGGAAGCTCATCGTAAAAGCCGACATCGACCTGCCACAAGATAGACACAGTTGCAGAAGCGCTAACTTCTAAAATAGGAACCTGCATTTTCTTCTTCTGTTGTTTCGATCCCACGCGGCGAGAGAGATCTTTTCCTTTCCATTCGCCGCTTGCCAAATCTCTGAGCTTCTGTTCCACTCCGCCAAAGTCGCCTAGATACGGTTAGAAACGACCAAACTGCACAGACTAGAGGCAAATAGGTGGTAAGACTTACCTCCGCGGACGAGTTTTTTGGCATTTTTGAAAGCGATGTCAGACAGCAAGACTTTCCACAGACCGACTCTTTTTCCGAAAATGTCTTGGGCACTACTAGGTGCTGTAGTTCGATCTGAAGGCAGAGCTGTCGAGCTAGCCAAAGTGTCTACAAGACTCCCGGTGGTGAGCCTATCCAGACATATTCTGCATGGGAAGCTGTCTAGGGCGGAGCGCGTGAGTGCTGGGATTATCTCATTTTGAAGATGCTCCGCTGCATTGGTGAGGCCTCGAGCGGACAAGGGTGGTAAAATGCCGAAGTGGTTCATCTGCTGAAGTATCTCGCTCGAGACCTTGAATTCCTCTTTGATATCCTTTCTGGGGCCTTGCTCAGCTGGGGTCGACTTTTTGTCGTCCCGGTTCAGTACCTTCATTGATTCCAAAGGAGGCAGGTTCTCCACTTTCGTCTTTTTCAATTCCTCTTCATAAGATGTATGAATGAGCGAGTTGATGGATTCCATCAGTTTTTCAGCAATGTTCCAGCTCTCCACAATGGCTTGTGTTCCATGATCAGCAGAACAGGCATTGCACATGGTGATCAGCCTGTCCCCAACCTGCCTGGAGAGAGTAAGAGGAAGATGGCTCCTTTTCGACAACAGCCATTCCTTCAAAACCACAGTGTACTTTTCGTTAGCCACTAGATTATCGAACAAGTCTTGGGATGAGAGGAGGGTTTTGGTGAGGTCACGTAGAAATTGAGACTGTTGTTTAGTAATGAGCGGTAGTGCGGATCCAACGAGTTGAATCATTTGAGGAGGCGAGAAGATGTTATCGTGAAGAAATGGAAGGACCATAGCCTTGAAGATCTCCTCAGCCACCGGACCCGGTAGTTGCTTAGCTCGCAATATTTCAAAGCATTTCAGTAAGCGTGAGTGTGTCTGGTCTGGGTTGAGAACCAGTTGATCATGGACCGATCCATCTTGCATCGCTTCCTGCAACCGAGTGTAGTACCTTTCCACATTCGACAGAGCATGGTTGTATTCGTGTAGTCCAGGCTTCTCCTGTAGCAGGATTGAGGTCCACGGGGTCTGTACAGACACCATTGTGGTGTGATAAGACTCAATGCTTGTTGTTTATGGGTTGAGAAGTTGGTCAACACAGGTGGGGATTGATAGACGCGTTTGGCGCCTGATGAAGGACGTTGCTTTTTTTTGGATCTTTTCGTTGGATTTTATGGTAATCAGAACTATGACAGGAAATGGTATGGTTGGGAAAGCCAGGCCAAGACGAGACAATGGTTTTGTCGCCGTCTCATCGGTTGATAGCTTGAAGTGACTGTGTGTCGATGCGTGTCGAAGAGGTAAACAAGTCGATGGAGGGGAGAGAGGGTGAGAGAGAGAGGTGGAAGAGGTGAGAGGTCGGGGTCATATGTCTAGACGCGTGCCTTCCAAATCAGCGATGTCAGATGTGACTCCTTTCCCGTCGCTCTTTCCCAAAACCTTCTTTGTCCATAACAAACACAAACACAAACTTCCATGGATCCATGGATCTAGTTCCTTTTAACCTTGGAAAAGTCATATGCGTTGCACCCGGGCAAACATACCACATCTATGAGACTTCAAAGAGCTATCTGATATTTGAATCCTACAGAATGGCTAGCAAAGCTTCCAAGCGAAGTAAAAAGTATAAGTAAAAACCTCAATATATCATGCCCATCTAGGAGTTGATGAGAACGTGCACATTTCGAAATGCGGATGCATCTTTGCACCAATACAGTGCCATATCCGATATTCACTAGCCTGTCTCATTATAACAAAAATTCAACATTACTGACTTCAAACACAGGTCTATTAGCAAAATGATTGTAAAAGGGTCATATGTAGTTTTATAGGGAAATCCGATCTCTGATCCTTTGATAAAGTTGGAGATAGTAGAGTGAGGAAGGCTAAAGTATGCCCATGAGCCTAAGCAGGGTAACACAGGGCCCTCATAGAAGTAGGAAATAAGCACAGTGAACCAGCGGGATGCATAGAGATCGGTCTGTTTGGGGCTATAAAGCCTACGCAAAAGATAATTTGCAGCTGATTACATCATATCATCTGTCATTTAAGTATCTGCATAGGAAACACACATATAATAGCTTCAATAAGTCATAAGAGTATAGTTCTCTATCTCAGATAGTCCGCCACTAATGTCTAATATCTACTCATGTTTAATTTCCTCAAACCTAGCATGCCAAGCCTCGTATCCCCCTATCCTAAAATCGTTCAACTCGCCAACAAAAGAATTTGACGCTAGCTTCCATTCGCCATTATATTTCCTACCCCAAACCATGTTTTGTAAATGTCTTCAGCCTCTCTAGACTTCCAATTCCTGAATCACGCCATTCGTTTACAGCCTCGGCCCTTATATACAGCTTCACCTGAACTCCAGGCAATAGTCTGTTTCAAGATCGTAGTCATAGGGTTTGGTTCTTCATCGGATTAGAGGAAAATGTTTACCAACTTCGGACAATCGCAAAGAGGCTTCGAATCCGCCATTGCAACGAGATCTTCAATCGGAAAATAACTATCTAGATTTCATAAACCATGCTGGAAAGACTGGAGTCCGAAAAGCAATCAATAATAAATGGTCTAACAGTGTTGTCAACTTGGTAAATCACAAGGGCCTCTTTGTTGTGGCTTCTTCTGTCATTGATGGAGGTATCGGAATCTGGTGAGAAGATGACTTTTTCATAGTCTGTGTCATCGCATCTGACTGATGAAACTCGTCTCGATGAGCTCTGGTAAGCCAGTCTTTATCTATTTGGTTAGCTTTGTCTTGAGAGGGGATCTGCGCCATACCTCACGTATTATAATCCATAGTCTCTGGGGTTTTTCCACGGGAGATGCAAATGTGATTTGGAGATAGCCATCAATTTTGCAAAATTTCCTGAGAATGGATTCCCAACCAACCTGTTTCAATATTAAATTGGTAGAATATTCAAGATCAATCAATTCAACACAAGCTCCTCTCCTCGCTTGTTCTTTTTCCACACTTTTTTGGTGGAGATCTCGCTATCCTCGGTGTTGCCCTGTGCTCAACTCAGGCTTTGGTAGGTCAGGTGCTTGGATTTCCTTCGCATTACTGGCATTTTGAAGGTTGATGCATAAAGAGAAAGAAACAAACGTCCGGAAGTCTGAACATGCGTTTTCCTAGGGCTGCTTTCCCCAGGATTATCAACCAATCAGGTCCCTCAAAGGTCGGATATCTCAGCTAGAGACCTCGGGAAGCTGGGGTGCATTGTCCGGATTAGATCTTTATTATGAGGTTCGTCTCATCACAAGGAGTTCAATTCGATTATATGTCCATATAATGAGGTAGAATATCAGTCTTAGATCTCTTGCCCATGTCTACATCCAAGGTTATACATGCAACATAGAAAAGTCTCCTACACAAAGTATGCTTTTTTACTGCCTTCACAAATATCTAAAGAATCTAAAAGATATTCAAAAACACCAACTAAAAAGACCCCGCAAGGCCAAATAAGCGGCCGACTATTCTTATATAAAAACAAAAAAAACAAATCCCAGCTCCTCAAGATCACCTGGCTAGGCGGGTCCACGGGTATTGAGATGACTAAGCATACATCACCGGAGACGGAGTGACGTTGATTATTCCCCGCGGGAAAGAAAGTTAGCTTCTACATATGCTGGTTACCACCATGGCCACACCGAGGCTGCCGTTCCTGTATCCAAATTTGATGCGCGCGGTGCGATCATGTGAACCGAGAACATACCGCTCACTTAGGATCCCATACCGGCCCACCCAACGCTTCCACACGAGCCAACAACGGGAGCGCGATTCCTACCAGCGACGATATGGTCCAGCTGTCGAACCGAGTACTGCTCCTTCGTTGCGTCCGAAGAAGGGCTCCCGCGATCAGGTCCAGGAGGTGCCAGAGGATCCATTGACTGAACATGAGGCTGTAAATGCCTCCGAGCAGGAGGAAGCTTCCCCGGAAGAGTCACAGTCGGAACCGCCACAGGAGGCCGAGCCGGACACCACAGATGTCGCTTCTTCGGAAACCCCAGCCTTAGATCAACAAGCGGAAGCTCAAGCTGGCGCTGAAAGGAAGGAAGATAACCCCCCGACGGACCGGGAACCGCACGAGGAGCAGGCAAAGGATATAGATGGCGCCGAACAGGACCAGGCTTCGGCTTCTTCGCCCCCTCCTTCCGAAGGCACATCGGAAGAAAGTACAGATACATCTTCGTTCACAAGCCAAACTCCGTTCGATGATGTCCTCCACATGCCCTCGCCGTCTGTGTACCTAACCCCAACCGGGGAAGCTTCCTCGTCCGAGGATCGCCCGCCACACTTGTCCCCAGCGCCGTATGTACACCCTTTCGACACATATTCGTTGGTACAGGATCTATCCAAAGGAGGATACAGTGAAGAACAGTCTACTACAATCATGAAGGCTGTGCGGGCTATCCTACAGAACAACCTCTCCCTTGCTAGGGAGAGCCTTACTTCGAAGTCCGATGTCGAGAATGAGGAATACCTATTCAAAGCAGCTTGTTCTGAGCTTCAATCATCACTCCAGACAGCTCGCAACTCGGAAATACAGCATCAGCGCTCATCGCGCACGCAATTGCAGCATGAAACGGATATAATCTCGCAGCGTCTCAGCCAGGAACTTGCAGGCATGAAGGATGACATTAAGGGCATGTTCAATGATCACAAGATGACCACGCGGGAGCAGCAGCGGAGCATCGATACCTCGGTTCAGGAATTAAACTACAAGATCACCGTGTCGCTGAACAGCGATGGAAAGAGTGAAATTGAAGGTCTTCGATGGATTTTGACCAGACGTGCCGCTTTGACGATTGCCATCTGTGCTTGTAAGTGTCCAATTTTCCCATTGATTCCTAATTGGTTTTTTCTTGTAGCTAACTCGATTATAAGTCATGATCATTGTGTTCTTGAAGTATGCTTCTACACGCAAGACGCCTGAGCCGAAGCAAGCCAAGCAAGTGGAGAAGCCGGCCGTCACCAAAGAAATCACCACTGAAACCCGAGTCGTACGGGATGGTGGCATTCAGACAGCCGTTCCGTCTGCTGAAGCGCATCTCGGCGAATCTCTCGGTTGAGATCTTGAACATGAATCCTCGCCTGATATACCTCCTGTCGTTATGCATTTGACACTTCCACTCCCCATGTCCTATCACCACCAGCCACATATTCCTTTCTTTCATTTGTTTCAGGTCTCATTTATCCACTTGACCGGGCTCTTTTACATTCCTTGTATCACCACCAATTAGACAAAAGCCGCGATATATATATTTTTACTAAACATGGCAAACCCACCTACCTTCCCAGGTATGTACAACAGACTCAAATCACAAAAATCATACTTTCCATTTTTGCACATGCAAGCTCAGCCCCTGAATCCCTCGGCTATTCCTTCACCCAAGGCACCTCCTCAGGGCGATACTTATAAGCCCTAAAAACCGCATTGCTAAGATAATCAAACCCGATGGCCTCCATCTCATCCAACTCCTCTTTCTTCATAACCTCCGTATAATTCCCCAGCTGTGGCACAACAAACTCCCAAACAACCTCACCCCCTTCAGTAACCTCCATAACCCGTCCACTAGCAGCTTCACAAACCAAAACATTCCCCCCAACCAACATCTGCGCAGACCCCATAAACGGCGTAAAGAATCCCAACCCCCCGGTCGAGAAATCCTTATACTCCCACTTAACAATCCCCTCCTTCGAAACAACAATCGCCCTCGAAAACGGCACCGAAATCCCAGGCCTGAAAACTCCATTATCAAGAATCAACATATCCCCTGCCTCATTAATCTCATGAGCACAATGTTGCTGGCTAACAACCGGCGCACCGAGATGCCATTTCACCGCACCCGTATCACGACTGATAACAAACACACTTGACGCATTCCTCGACGAAGCAATAATATCCCCGGCAGAGTCAAACGAAACGCTATTGATGAGGGGCCAGTGCTCGCGCGTGTAGTGCGCATGCGCAGCAAAGACAGCGGGATCTAGATGGTCGATTGCGCGCCATGACCAGAGGAGCTTGGCGCCAGTGTTACCGCCGCTGCCGTCGAAATCTGCGGAGGAGGACGTGGTGCTTGTTGACCATGGCTGGACGAGTTTGATGCAGTCGCCGTAGATGACGCCGTTTGGAGCTTCGGTGGATGGGATCCCACCTTGGACGCGCGCTGCTTCGGCGCTGCTAAGTGGCTCAAGCGTCGTGTATAGGATTGTGCCATCGTCGAGGTGGTTTTGGTCGTGGTGTGCTAGTGGATCGCTGTATTGCCGTAGGATCTCGCCTTCTGGGCTCACTTGCATCATTACGCCGCCCCGGTATTTCGCCCACATTGGGAAGAGGTTGGGGGCGTCTGGGTGCGCGCCGTTGTAGGCTAGATTGCCGTCTGCGAGGATGCGGGCGTGACGGCCGGCGCGGTGTGGGAGATTCCACCGGTGCACTTCTTTGCCTGTTGTTGAGACTAGGTGTGCGGTGTTTGAGGTGAGAGGTGCGTATAGAACATAGCCTGGGGAGACGCGTTCAGCGTCGACTCCGCGGAGACCGAGGCCTCGGCGGCGGAATGTGTGCTGCTCCATTAGGGATGGGTCAATTGATTGACGAAGTTGATTTGAAGAGAAGAAAAAGAACGCAGACGCAGGGGACTTTATGTTTGATGAAATCGAGGGAAGTGGAGTATACTCATTGTTCTAAGGGCATCCCGGACCGGCATACCGCGGTATGCCGCGGGAAATAAGTATTAGCCAAGAGACATTCGATATGGCGCGAGATAAGCCCAATCATGGATGATAATAGGTATAATCCAGTGTGTAATGTGTTATCGATAGATCGAAGATGAGCAGGAAAAGGAGACATTGTGGAAATATAGAAAGGAGAGTGTTTCCCCGGCATAGAGTCATAATTTGACCAGTTCACTTCAGCTTTCTATCTCGGTTTCCTCGTCGCGATGAGTAACTATAATGAATCTATACAAAAATCACAGTCTGAACCAGAGGCAGTGAAGCCTCATCGACCATTTTTTAATGCAAGATTCTCCATTGAAGAAGGTGGCATCGAACGGGTTACCGATGAAGAACGACAACAGAATACAACCAAGTTCTGGCATGCTGCTACATTCTGGTAAGACAGATATTCGAGTGAATATAGATCGCTACTAACATATCACTTTCTATCTACAGGTTCAGTGCAAACATGGCTGTAGCTACCCTCAATATCGGCTCCCTAGGAGGTTCCCTCGGCCTTCCATTCTGGGACTGCTTCATCGTCATTCTCATAGTCAACATCACAAGCAACTTGCTACCAGCCTGGACATCTGTATTTGGATTGACAGGACTGCGCATGACGACGTTCTCGTAAGTATTATCTTTCTATGAACTAGCTCTCTGCATTGAATATCCCACTAACACCCGATTCCTCTAGACGATACTCATTTGGCTACTGGGGCAACATGCTCGTCGTCATCTTCTCCATGATCGCCACAACAGGCTGGAATGCAATCAACTCTATTTCTGGCGCAGCCGTCCTGCACGCCGTCTCAGATGGCCGATTTCCCATCTGGGCTGGCGTCATCGTGATTTGTGTGGCTGTCTGGGTTATCTGCGTCCTAGGCATTACCTGGATTCATCGCTTGGACACATTTATCTGGATCCCGCCTTTGATTGTGTGGTGTGTCGCAGCTGGGACGGGTGCTTCTCAGCTCACCGGCGAGGACCATTCGCGTCTTCAGGGTTCAGACAAGGCTGCTGCTATTCTTACATTCATGGCTTTGATCTTCTCTTTCTCGGTCTCCTGGGTGAATTGTGCGGCGGATTATAATGTGCGCATGCCCAAGGATACGCCGCGTTGGCAGATCTTCGGTGCTACATATGTTGGTATTTTTATTCCCACTGTGCTTGTCCAGACTCTTGGTGCGGCGTTATATACAGGTACTACAACCAATGCGACGTGGAAAGATGCGTATACGGTTTCTTCAATTGGGGGGTTGCTCAAGATGGCATTGGAACCAGCAGGGGGATTTGGAAAATTCTTGATGGTCCTTGCGGCATTAAGCTCAATTCCGGTGAGTGAATGCATATGCTAGTTGGTGTTACCAGTTGGTGTTTATTTCAAGAATCGCATGCTAATCTTTTGGAAAAGAACAACATCCCAAACAACTACTCCTTTGCGCTCCATGCACAGAATCTGGGACCATGGGCTATGCGCATTCCCCGTGTGGTCATGGTCACATTTGGATTTATCGCGGCGATAATAGTCGGCTGTTGTGCAGCCAAATATTTCTCTGACACTTTGCAGACATTGCTTAGTGTGATTGGGTACTGGACTGTGATCCATATCACTCTGGTCCTGGAAGAACATTTCATTTTCCGTCGTGGGTGGAATGGATATGATTTCGACGCTTGGAACAGCGTTGCTAATTTGCCATTTGGATGGGCCGCGATCGGAGCCTTCGCTTTTGGGTTCCTGGGTGCTGCTCTTGGTATGAAAACCGCGTGGTATTCGGGTCCTATTGCTTCTTTGATTGGAAAGAAGGGTGCAAATATAGGTCACGAGTTGACATTTGCGTTCTCTGGGGTTGTATTCCCTTTGTTCCGGTGGATTGAAAAGCATTATGGGGGCCGGTGAACAGCTGTTACTATGTTGCCGCGTTATTTCGTTTGTAAACCAGGTATATATCCGCTTGTTATCTCAGTCAGGTCTCCCTGGAACAGATGGGCTTTCTGGAAAGAGACCCATATTGGACAGAAGATCCCAATCCCCATCAGCCGAAATGCCCAGTCCAAGAAATTCCGGGAAATAGTAATTGTTAAGTTCACCAAGTAGCTCGTCTGGTTGTGGATTTGCTGGCGATAGCTCGACGTGTGGTCGTAATTTTTGATGCACCTTTGTGATTATATTTCCCAAAGTATGCGCCGCATGGCATGGCAGTCCAATGCAGTACAGCCATTGCACTAAGTCACGTACAAGCAATTCAAGCTCATCGATGTTGTGAGTCGAGGCAACCTGCTCTTGGTGGGCATTCAGTAGGCGGCAGATGACAATAGCTGCAAAGGTGATCATATGGTAGATGTGATCGGTCAAATGGCGGGTGCGCTCATCTACTGTATCCATGGCTAGTTGCACAATTTCCGTAGAATGGTGAATCATTTCCGACACGATTGGTTCCCGGGCTCGAGAAGACTTGGATTTCAGAGCATGCTCGTATAGAAGTAGATGCGAGAAATGAAAGCCCATTGAGAGGAACTGGGATCTCGGTTGCTCTGATCGCAAAATTCATTAGCAAGAACGAGGAACCTAATATAATTCAAATGTAGCATACCAAGAACAAATTCCCATTTTCGTCTCCAGTCCTGCAAAGCTGCCACTGCTTTCAGCAAATCAACTGACTCCTGAATGAGATGTTCATATACAGTCCAGTAAAGATAAATCTCGGCCACCATCCGTACTTCAAAATTTATCGCGTGATCCGAAACAATAATAGCACGACACCGCTCAATTTGCCAGGGCTGTAGCATGGATCGACGACTGGTTCCAACACAATAATGCATATGAGCGAGACAAAGATGATTCCACAAGTAGCAATTATTCATGATTTCTTCGTCCAATTTGTTTGGAGGATGAGATTGAGTCGTGACAGCAGTAAACAGCGGACTTGAGTGGGAGTGCTGTAAAGCGAACCCACTCAAAAGCCAGCTATCGATACTCAAAGGCACCTGTCCAACAGTCGTCGACCACATAGACAGGATCAAGGTAGCCTGGAAGAACTCAATTGGCTGTGGGGTAACTAGAAGAGTGGTAGATGCCAGAGAGCGGGCATACTCATACAACTTCGGAGCAAGGCTTGCAGCCAATTCCTCGGAAGTGTGCCGCACGGCGATCAGAGAACAAGCGCAGAAGAGCAAGCTCGATTTTTTCACTTGGCTGAGAAGCTCGCTTGGCTCACACTCGGGGTCGAAAAGAACCCATCGGCCGTAATATTCGAGGAAACTAAGAAAATGTTAGTGACAATTCGTCGTGATAAAGCGATTCATATAGAAGGGCAGTATACATTGTGATCAGCGTAAGTGCAAGATCAGGTGA